TAATCGCCATAACTGCCCCCGCCCCACCCCAATTTAGAAGATAGGAATGAGTAGGGTTTATTTAGAAGTGTATATATAATATAATATGATATATATATATATATATATATATATATATATATATATATAATATGTTAAATCGGTAAGTACAATAACATGGCAGGGGCTAATAGGAGGCCCCCGCCCCAGCCCCAACCCCAAACCCAAACCTAAATTTGGCCGATTGTTTGTCCCAACCCCCATCCCCACCCCTTTTAAATAAACGGTTCTCCAAACCCACTTTAAACTGGATGAGAGCGGGGCGGTTCCCCACCGAGTTGGGATAAATTGCCATCCCTACACATATACCTCCAAATCATCTTCAACTTCTACCAAGAACACCTCATAGTTAGGATCCTTATAATAAGTTCCCTTTGAAGCATTCTTTCTTTCCTTCTCCTTCTTGAGGATCACTAACAGAGTCCTTACCCAAACCCGAGGTCACACAAGGGTACTATGGTCATTTTACATCATTATAATAGTTCTAGAGCCCATAAGGGTATAATAGTCATTAATTTACCGTAATCAAATAATGGTTTAGAAACCAAAAAGGCAAAATAGTCATTTATTACGTTCATTATAGCTTCTAAACTCATCAGGGTAAAACTGTCATATTCTATAGTCATTATATGCTTTAGTTAAATTTTAGGGGTGATTAGGTAATTATACTGAAGCCTGGGGTCAAAGTGTAATTACTAACTCATCTAACTGGTTACATGATTTTATCTAACTAGTTAGTTGGCTTGGTCTAGAGAGCATGTAAAACTGAGGAACCATCTAGCCGGTTAAATGGAAAAATTCATTTAACCCCTTCACTGTCACGCCTAACTAATCAGGTAGATGGGAGCATGTAACCGATTAGATGGGCATTCGAATCTGATCTAACCGATTAGATGACCTTATCTAACCGGTTAGATGATGCCCAGAAGTGAAGTAATATATCACTTCTCAAACCCATTCAAATGTAACCCAAAGCAACCAAACATGAAAATATAGTTGCGTGAACATCATCAACCTTAAAACATTGCATTGAATCGTCAAAATAAATCATTCATACATCATTTGAGAATTAAATCTCCGTAAAACATACATACATGTCCAAAATAATATAATTACAAATCAAGGCCTCTGTGGCCATAATACAACGACTTCATATGGAGTCGACAAAAGAATAAGGTCATTACATATAGTTAATTATTCAAAAAAATGCATAATAACAAAAAATGGTCGTCATCATACTTCTAACCTTGCGGGGGTGCATCATCTACAACATCTTTGCCATGTCCAGAACATATTAGAATAAGGAGTGGGCACAACGGCTCAATAAAGATAGCCTAAAGTACAGTTCTTTTAATCCCGTGAATCACACCGAAAGTAAAGGACAACAAGAGAATGAATCATACAATGGGGGGGAAAGAAACAAATTCAGGTATTTGTACGTATTTGAGTGTCGTAGACCAAGTGGCTATATAATTACATGATTAAAAAACATAATTAATTATAAGATATGCAAAAATTGAAAGCAGAGTAATTAGTAGGGGTGCACAAAAGAACCGTGGAACTGGAACCAGAATCGTGAGAACCGGAACCGTGAGAACCGGAATCAATTTTTCAGTTCTCACGGTTTCGGTTCCTGTTCCGTTTCCTAACTCACAGTTCAATTCCAGAACCGAACCGATATATATATTACATAAATTTATATTTGATTACTTGTGGGCTACTAATACTAGGTTGTGGGCTGTGCCAGTGTGCCGACAATGCCACCGTGGCCTGTGGAGTGTGGGTTGTGCCATTGTACGATCTCCTCAAATAATCATTGATTCAATTTATCAGATATTGGATAAAAAAATTAAAATCACAAATTTTGTCTATCAAAACTCAAAACTCAAAACCTAACCCTAAGTTTACCTAACCTCTCAAACTCACTCCGTGGCTCCGCCTCCCATCTTCTCCCCTCCCCTCCTCTCCTCTCCTCTCTGGTCTCTACTCTCTATCTTCTCAAAACTCAGAAGTCTCTATCTTCTCAGATCACACTTGCTAGGGGTGAACATGGTTCGGTTCTTTACAATTCCTGCTGGAACCGGAACCGAAACCGCGGACAGTGGAACCGAACCGTGAAACCGTTGACCAAGCTGACTTTTTCAATATTATTTTAATTTCCCTTAAAAAAAATAAAAATACAACAACAAAAATAAAAACATAAATAAACACACAATATAAAAATATTACATCCTAGAAATTCAGTTACTCCATTAGAATTACAAAAAAGTAAAAAAAAAAAAAAAAACTGAATCAGCATCATCAGCAATAGCAATGACTCCTCCATTGTAGGAGCTCACACAGAAAGCATCTTCCCCACCTTTTAGAAAAAGCTAAGAATTACATAATGTGGTGAATTTGAAACTAAAAATTGACATTTGGCAAACCAGTAGAAACACTAAACTCAATTACCCAAAAAAAAAAAAAAAAAAAGACAATCAAGGGGAAGAGAGAACATAACAAATCATGTGATCGCTCAAAATCATAAATATATGTTTTTTTTTTTTTTTACAAAAGTCACAAAATACGTTCCAGAAGTACAAAATCCTATCTCAAAATAACCACGGTGTTATGGATGATCAAGAAATATAAAGAAAATCTGTCAAATCTAAAATACCTAGAGTGTGATCTAAGAAGATAGAGACTTTTGAGTTTTGAGAAGATAGGGAGTAAAGACCAGTTGAGACTTGAGATAGTGAAAGGGCCGAGTGGCTGAGAGGAACAGGAGGAGGAGCCTGATGTTCATTATTTCTCCACCGATTCTGATTGCCCCCCAAGTCATGGGGTTCTCTTTGAGGAATGACGGTCAAGACCTGCTGATTTTGGCATTGTTGATTCTGATTCTACTGACGTAATACAAGAGGTTGATAGACTGGTACAGTGGGTTGTGATAACGTCTCTGTTCTGACGATAGAGCACTAACAGGCGCATCGCTTATGTTAATTTGATGGTTGGATCATGTAGTCGGTTGCGCCAACGGGAAAGTCACTAATGGTAAGGTAACCTGCTAAGAGACAAACTCATGAGCTGTCGAGTTATCTAGTTGATCGGGGCGGCTTTCGGCAGCCGACATCTAAACTACTGTAGTATACCACTTGGCCTGGAACTCGGCTCTATTGTTATCAATTTGAAATGCTTGAGATCAATGGGCTAGTGGCCTAGCGGTATCAACTTTTTACATCCCAAAGGGAACTCAAGAGTTAAAGTTTCAAAAGAGACATGTGTGTGAGTACCAATTAAAAGAAAAAAAAATTTGAAATGCCTGAGCATCCATTTTGCGCTCCATTCTTTTTATCATATACATTATCTGGGCCAATGGAACATCAGATTGCATAACTCATTCACCTTATAAATCGACTAAGTACGGGCGTGGCAGAACCAATTGATTTGGTTCAGATCTGGTCAATTGTTGAGTCTCTTTTGAAGAAATTATAAACTAGTCGATTAATGAGGGAGAGAATATGAAAATCCCAATTAGGTTCAAACTGCCTAAGTAAAAAGGACTTAAAACGGGTAACGAATAGCAAATTGAAACTGGAATTGAGATGGGAACTATTATAACTACTGGAAATTAAATTGACAAATATTGGAGCGACGGAATTGAGATTAAAAGGAAACTGCTAATAGAAGGAACTTAATTAGAACAATTAAATTGAAAGAAGCTGAATTATACTAGGAAAGCATAGCTAAATAAAGAGAGTAAATTTAACTAGGAAGAGAAGTTGTATTATAATGATTAATTTGGAAGTGTTGGACCCTTACAAATAATGGGTCCATAATTATTTATAAGAGACCAAAACCCTAATCAACTCCTAAAATTAGGTAACCAGATTACAACAAACCTCTCAAGTCATTATCACCAAGATATCGCACCACTATCCTAATCCAATAATTAAATCTTTATCTCCCGTAGTAATCTACATACCACCCATTGCGTGCCACATCATTGTTCACAACCAGCCAAAAAAGGGTGTCAGCCCCAATTCTCCACGACTCCTGAGTGCTCAACATATGTCTAATAGCCATGGGACATGTCTTCAAAACCATACCAAATGTACAAAGGCCATTTTCGTCACATGGTTCTAATAAAATTCCATGTTAACATATTGACTGATCTCCCTGTACTTTGATCAATAATATATATATATATATATATAACGCTAGAGCTAAACAAATCCAGATAATTCGCTACCTTCTTTCTCGATACAATGCAACTCACCCTGGCTTTTGGGGGTATAACTCGGAATGGTAAATTTCTCTGCTGTTCAAAAACTTTACAATGGGTACCTGAGGAAGCCAGAAATCATGCTATAATGACATCAATGTATTGGCAGAAATTCTTTCTCTAATATAGGAATCCGGTTTTTTCAACATTTTCGTCCAAGAAAGACGTAGGATGGCCCGGACCGTGTTATAACCACAATACCAAGTACTATCTTTCTATTGTAGTATAATAAATTCCCGATTTTTTTTTCCTGGCAAACTAAGTGAAGGAGGACTCGAATACGGACACACCCGCTCAGGAAGCTGGGCGTTTTACCATACTAGGTAATGCTCATAAATTCCTGATTTATAGTAGCCACTCTTGGTCTAAACATTTTGTGCTCTAGAGAACTTGGCATAAGACCACAAGCCCTCTTATTTCCTGGTGCCACTGGAAGCACCAAGCCAGGGTGACCCTAAGATTAGAAAAAGAATAGAATTAAATCACTCGAAACTATTTTTTGATTTCATGAGTAATCACTAGAAACTAATTTAAATGCCGCTAACTAGTTTTTTTTTTTTTTTCATTTAAATTGTCTTTGGATGCAAAAACTTTAATTATACAGGTGCACATAATTGAGAACCGTCGCCATTTAAACACAGCTAAGAACATGATGAAGAAATAGAAATGCAAATGCAATTAAAAACTAGTAGACATGGAAAGTGAAAGAGGAATGGGATTTAATTACATGGAAGAAGCAGAAATACAAAAGAGCGGGAGAGAAAGAAACTGCAGTTTTAACATAATGACATAATTCCAAAACAAAATATATTAACCTTAAACAAAGAGCTCAAGCTAGCAGTCAGTCCAAGACAAGTGAACATATTCCAAATTTTCTAGTGAGCTTCTTCTTCTTCGCAGAATTTCGTGTACTCTTTTGAACCCATCAAGGATTCCAATTCTGCTGGACTAGTAGGCTTTATTTTGATCATCCATCCATCTTCATATGGGCTTGAATTGATCTTCATTACAAAATATGACCAAGTCAGAAACCATGAAAGCAAAGATTAATGTTTGGCTGTTGAGAAAATGGAGGAAAATTAACAAACTATGGAAGCTTCTCTGCAACATAAGATTGCCAAGTAGAGGAAAAGAAAAGAAAGTATGTAAATTGCATATGTTGTTTGGTACTTGCAACTTATTTTCTTTTCCTATAGTCTACTTTTCCCCAATGGAGACACAACTATTTAGGTTCGAAATGTTTTTCTTATATTCCTATTTTCTATTGCCTTTTCCTTCATTTTCTCAACAATCAAACAAGAGTATAAAGAACAAAGAATCGGGTTGGAAAGTACGAATTACCAAACCAGGTGATGCACTGAGCTTTGAGTTAACCTCAACAACCTCTCCTGAGATTGGGGAATTAACATCACTAGTTGCTTTCACACTCTCCACTGCTCCAAAGCTACCGCCTTTTGAAACTGAGCCACCGGGTTCTGGCAGCTCCACAAACACAACTTCCCCAAGATGGTCCTGTAAATATTCCAATACACACAACTTCATTCATCTGTGAGCCAAAGAAAGTAATCATACAAGCACAACCACCACCCACTTAACCTAAAATACTATTCGTCAATTAAAAGTTTTACGACAAACGAACCCAAGAACAAATTAAGAAACACGAACACATAGCGCACAAATAATACAAAAATTTAGCAGTTTTCACTATGCAATAAGCCGGGGAGCTCTCACTCTCTTTTCTGTGATTTTCAGTGTCTCTCAATCCTTCACTCCAAACCTTAAATGTCAATATTACAAGAGAGTACTAAATAGGATCCACCACTCGCAAGCATAAAAACAGGTCAAAATATTTCCCGGCCACAACATCACAAAAAGCCACAAGAAACATAAAAGAATTAACCATGTTAAAGATAGTTGGACAATTTTGTTTAGGTCATGTAATGTACGATTTGAAACGGATTAGTTCCAGTTTTATAGGTAATTAAACCGAACCAATCCAATCCAATCTGTGTACACCCTTAATAATTACTTCAACAAAACTAGGGAATAACAAAAAGGGCAGGTTAAAAAAAGACAATGCAAACAAGTTCAAAGCTTCCCCATCATGGCATTCCACAAGTATACTCAATAATAACCATCCATATGAGGTCCAATACTGATCAATATGGATGAGCTATATATATATATATATATATCTATGTATATATAGAGAGAGAGAAGAAAGAACCTGAGCATGATCAGTGATGCCAATTGTGGCCACTGAACCCTCATGCTTCACCCACTCATGTGAAGATGCATACTTCAAGCCATCCAATACTGCAAATCCAACATGTTACATATCTTCTTCCACGTTTTCCACACACACACACAAACAGAAAATGTTTTCAAGGCAAAATTGTTTCGAAGAAAAATAGATTTAGTCAAAGCTCATACTAGCATTCTGTTTCAAATCAATTCTTACAACAACTATAGTGTGTGTTAGTGTGTGTGTCTGTGTGTGTGTGGGGGGGCATTAAAATTGAAGAGAGGAGTACCAGAAGAGAAGTATCTAGAGAGAGAGAAGGCAGGAGGTAGATGAGGTTTGGACGCAGAAGAGACTCTGAGAGCATTGGCTGTAGAAGAAGCCCACATTCTGAGTGCCATGTTATCTTCTTTGCTTGCTTCCTAATCCTTTGTGGCTGCCTCAAAACACCCAAAAGGAAAGGAAAATGTCAGAGAAAGGGAGGGATTTTGAATAATATATATTTTCTGTTTTTGTTATCTTGTATGAATGGTGGGCGATGAGAGCCTCATCCGAGGACCCAAATCCAAAGACCAATTTTAAATTACTATTTTTATTTTTACTTTTTTTTATGTGACAAATATACCTCATACACCCATTATGTCACTCATACCCTTGAAAGCCTTGAAAGGATAGCAGTCTCAGACATATAGAATAAATACACCATGGTTACCGAGGATACGTGTGGTATATAAATAGACGTATTCATAATTTTTTTTTTTTTTTTTTTTTTTTTTAATATACACAGCAAGGACATGATTTAGATACGCCAATAGCACGTCTAGATAAACAAAAAAAAAATGAATAGGACAATTTCAGAATACATTGTGAATACTCTTTTTAAAAAATCATGGAGCTTAGCTTGAATTTTAAAATCTTTAGAAGTAAAAATATAAAAATAAAAATTAGACTTAAAAGTCCAATGAATTTTAAAATCTTTTGGAGTAAACATATAAAAATTAAAATTAGACTTAAAAGCCATTAACAACAATGCAAGGTTATTTATTTAGCAAAAAAAAGAAACAATATCGCATTCATGTCTTTTGCCTAAAGTTTCGTTCTTACTTGTCATATCAAAATGTAAGTCAAATAAAAAATGTGTATCTTATTATTGAGAAATTGGAAAAAGTTACTTTTATATTTTTTGTATAATAATGTATTTTTATTTTTATTTATTTTTTAATGTATTCTTATCGTATTTGTATCATATTATTTAAAAAATCTGTCACATCTCCGTATTAAAATAAATAAATAAAGTAGAAAATTAGCTTGGTTGGACAAAGCAATCTAGATCTTCAAAATGAGACGTGAAAATGTTCAAAACAAATAAATAAATAACTCTACAGTATTATTAGGAGACTTGACCCTCCACCTTTTGTTTTGAAAATAAATGAGATACCGATCATACAAGATAAAATGCAGTATATATTTTTAGATAACTACAATGTTGACACTAAAAGAATTGACTGTTGAACTGTATGAGGTAGGAAACTCTCAAGTACGGTTCTAAGGGAAGGAATTGACCCACCTATTCCGACCGAAGAGAACAAGACATTCGACATGGAGATTCTGAGGCTTGGTTCGATCAAGCCACTAAGTATCAAATTGAATATTGATACCTAAAATCCTTCTAATGTTGGGTTTGATGGTAACCATTTTTTAGATTTGAAATTGCATAAAATTTTACTAAAATTAATTTTGTCTAATTCTAAGTATTGGGTGAATGCCAAACAAATCCATGACCTCTGCATATAGTATAAGGGAGGTGGACATGCACATTTACATGGTTTGGTTTTTGGTTAACTGGGTGATGGCCTTAATTACAAATCCCAACTGGACATCGAATTCAGGCTTTTTCAAACCGTAGCCTATTAATGGAATATCTTTTGGGCTGCTGTCCCAGAAATCCAATGGACAACAAAGCCCAAATGCGAGGGTCTATTTTTTTATGGACCACTCTCCTAATTCTGTGCTTGTTGAGTTTATAAACATCTCACCCTTTTCCCTATTCTTTTTGTATATTGTATACATACATATATTGTTGTTATTATAGAGAGAGCGAGTTTTGATAAATGAGTGAAATAAGAAATTAATATATGTTTTGATGATAACTAAATAAAATAAGAAATTAGTATATGTATTAACGTGTATACTTAAATGTTACGGCCTTTTGGGGGTAAAACTCAAAAGTAAAATCATTCGGGTTAGAGTTCAAAGCGGACAAAATTATATCATGCAGGAGAGTGGACTATTACAAATGATATCATTTTCTAGTCTCACGTCTTCTTTTTATTTTCTTTTCTTCTTTTTTTTTTTTTTGTTTTGTGTGTATCTTTCTTTTTCTTTTTCATATGAAAGAGATTTCATATGCCCGGTCCCATTTATATGAGATTAAGATAAAAATAATGATGATTTTTCGCATAAAATTTACCAAAACCTTTGCATCAATGGTGAAAACCAAAATTTATAAAATGAAAATTTGTTCCTTCTTCTTGTACAAAATGTAATATAAGGCATTACCGACTCAAAGTCACTTTTTCTATAGCGAGCGAACAAATTTAAGAGAGGTCAAAATAATAAACGTTGAAAATTTACCTGTGTATAATTTTTTCGACCCTTAAGGGTAAGTTTGTAATTTATCCAAAAACAAAGAGAAAATAAGGAGGGAATGGAGTGATTTACAATTCTAAAAATAAAATAAGTAGCATACAGCTTATATATATATATATATATATAGTGTGTGTGAGAGAGAGAGAGAGCTGTAATGTAGCAAAATAAGTGTATTTATGTATAAGACTTCCTTTCACTTTCGGTGAAATCTACTCTACAGATGCAATTGAAAAGGACGTTCCCTAGGTCTACTTAGCGCCATGATATACAATTATACATGAATTCAAGTTTGAAAGCGTTTGTTTTGCGCAAGATCTATACATACTATTATATAAATGTCAATAGAAAATTTTTCTTTTTTATATAATTTTTTTAATGAAAATTTGATTAAAATTTTAATTTCTTTCAGCATTTATTAGTCTTCTATTTATTTGGTTTGATTTTCATAGACTTGTCATCGATGACTTTTAATTTATATATGTCAACAAAAACTAATATATAGTATAATATATACTAATATACATTTTTAAATTTAAAGTACACTAATATATATATATATATATATATTATTCCTATTCTTCAAATAATAAGAAGAAAAAAAATTGATAAATAAATGATTTAAAATTCTTTTTATATATATATTTATTATATAAAACGTGTATACGTGCAATTTTTGTCCCGACATAGAATTTAATTAATGAGTTTATTGTTGGAATAAGACTTGAAAATAAACACTATTAAAATAAATACTATAGAATAGTGGAAAAAAAAAATCTAAAAATTTCTAGAAAGCTAGCAGACAATTCCAATTTTATTAGTTTGACCATTAATGAAGATATTTTAATTTAAGTCAATATGTTTAAAAGTCTTTGCCAAATATCTTGAATATTACACAAATTTTAATAAACTTGAGTTGAAAGACAAGTAACTTTGACCATGATGTTTCCAAGAGGATTGTCAATTTTTTGGGATATTTTTAGGTTTTCATGTGGTTTGAAAATTTTTAAATGAATGAATTTAAGTTGATTTGTGTAAGAAATACTATATAACTTAGTGGATTGAAAGAATCTCAAAAGAGTTGAGAAAATTATTTCAAATAATTAAGTGTAATAACATCACTATCAATTTTGAAATCCAACTTCAATAATCAACCTTTTATATAAAACTCAAATCCATTCAAATTGAATATGAAAGAATAAAAAGATAACTACTTGATGTAGTTCAAAAGATGTCTCATGAACAATCAAATCTCGTATTTGAATTTTTGGATAAACAATTTTTGTGGGGTTATTCACACGGGTTAAATTGTAGTCAAGCTGAGTTCTGGACTTGTCAAGTCTTGCCTAGCACACGTGGTTTTGTGGGAGTGTTGCATGTATCCTAATTAAGGTGGATTAGTCTCACCTATAACTACTTGACGTAGTTCAAAAGGTGTCTCGTACGTGAACGATCAAGTCTCTGGTTTAAGTTTCTGAGTAAATAATTTTCATGGGTTTATCCACACAGGTTAAGTTGTAGTCACGCTGAGCCCTAGACTTGTCAGGTCTTGCCCAGCGCATGCTGAATTTTTTTTTTTTTTTTTTTTTAGTAAAATACCCTTGTTAATATGTTTTTCTTCAAGTATGTAGCCCAAAAGGTTGAAACCCAAAAAAAAAAAAAAGAAAAAGGGCAAAAACGAAAAAAAGAAACAACTTTAAAATAAAAGCATTAAAAGATTTATTTTTTATTTTTATTTATTTTTAGTCAAACGATACTTTAGAAATAAATTGCATTTCCCTTTCAAAAAATTGAAATAGTGAACGCGGGAAAAGAAAGAGAGACTTTTTGAAACCAAACAATGTAAAAGCAAAAGTCAACAGGTGGTAGAAGTGGATGATCATCACCCCAAATTTAAACTCGCAGAGAGTGGATGGTGGTTGGTTAATTAGGTAGCGGACCTCGTGGTCATGGATGACTTACTAATTAAATCCTCCATTAATGAACATATCCATCAACCTCTTCCATCTCCATTTTCAACTTTAAACACTCTCATTTCAATTTTCCATTTCAAGAAGCTGCATGCATATATATATGCCACTGCATATACACACACACACACACACATATATATCACTATACCCAATGCTTTTTTAAAAAGGTAAATTACACGGACCTCCCTTATGATCAGGCACACATCTGTGAATGGCTCAATGGGGGTAGTTGCCCCCACTGAAATTTTAATTATTGTATTTTACACCCTTAATTTTATACTTTTTTGTATTTATACCCATAAAATTTTGAAATTACCCTACTGAAATTATGAAAAACCCTTCTATATAAATTTGCCCCCCCCCCCCCCATATGAATTCTTAAATCCGTCCCTACCTATGATTTGCATAATTATAGGGACCTCTCATGTGGTTTGAGAAATTATTCACACCTCTCTTTTGTTACAATCAACGCGAGTCAATGATGAATTTTGCTGATGCCATGTACTGAATAAATTGAATTTTGCAATATACCTTCCGTCCATCTCATATCTCTCACATATACAAATGGGTAGTGCAGTCATTTATCATAACAACTTGTGGGTATTTAGTAAATTAGATAAAAATGTTAGTGTATTTGACGGCCGCCACTAGGAAGGGGGTGTCCGTGTAGATTAGTTTTATTTTTACGGGAGGTCTAAGTAATTTTTTAAATCACAAGGAAAGTCCTTGTAATTATAACAAATCATAAGGAGATCCATATAATTTATCATTTTTTAAAAAATAATAATAATAATTTTCCGACATTCTCAACTCTATTTCTACTCTCTTTTTTACAATTTGACACCTACGCGAGTCTGCTTT